ATGATGGTCGGAGACGACGAGGAGAGTGACTACGAGGAGTGTGCCTTCGCGTTCTTCTCTCCGGTGGAGATGCCGGGAGAACCAGCAACTCTCAAGGAGGCTTTGGAGAGTAGTGATGCTGAGGAGTGGAAGAAGGCCATGGAGAGTGAGCTGAAGAGCATCGAGGAGAATGACACGTTTGAATTGGTGGAGCTACCGGAGGGGCGTACGGCGATAACGTCCAAGTAGCTCTTCAAAATCAAGTCGGATGCCGACGGCAAGATCGAGCGCTACAAGTCTAGGCTTGTAGCCAAGGGGTACCAGCAGAAGGAGAAGGTGGACTTCAAGGAGCTGTTTGCCCCTGTGGTGAAGCCGACGACGCTGCGAACCCTATTCGCGGGAGCCGCCATCAAAGGATGGGTAGTAAAGCAAATGGACATCGTAACGGCATTCCTTAACGGCATCCTTGAGGAGGAGATTTTTATGGCGCAGCCAGAGGGGTTTGATGATGGTAGTGGCAGAGTGTGGAAGCTGAAGAAGGCCCTCTATGGGCTGAAGCAGGCCCCTAGGCAATGGTACATGAAGCTGCGCGAAGTGTTGGAGGGGATCGGCTTCACTCCCTCAACGGCCGATCACTCCTTGTTCATGCTTGGCGAGGGGGAGCAGAGGAGTTTCATGGTGGTTTATGTGGATGCAATCCTCATTTTCTCACCCTCTTCTGACCTTGTGAAGGAGGTGATGCTGAAGCTTCAAGACAAGTTCAAGTGCAAGGCCCTTGGTGACGTGAGCTTCTACCTTGGGCTCCACATCGAACGAGATGTGGAGAAGCGGTGCATGCGGGTGCATCAACGAAAGTACCTGGAGGCATTGGCTGCCAACTTTGGGCAGAGTGAAGGCCATGTGGCTACACCCTTTCCCTCTGGGTTCAAGTGTGTGAAGGGACCAGAGGAGGAGAGCGTTGGTGAAGAGGAGAGGCGCCGATTTCACTCGTTGGTGGGCAGCCTCATGTATGCGGCGGTAAACACCCGACCGGACGTCGCGTTTGCTACCGGGCAGCTGGCTAGGGTTGTGCAATGCCCTAATGAGGAGCAGGTAGCAGCTGGAATGAGGGTGGCCAAGTATCTTGGCCAAACACCGACCGTTGGGCTGCAATACTCGGCGGCGGCACAAAGGCGCCAAAAGGGCGCGGATGGTGTTGAACCCGGGCGTTTGTTCCTCACCGCCTACTCGGATGCTTCATATGCATCAGAACCAGAGGACATGACAAGTGTGGGAGGCTTCATATGCTGTGTTGGTGGAGGCCCAACTGCTTGGGAGAGAAAGAAGCAGGTTGACCAAGCTTTGAGCTCGGTGGAGTCCGAGTACATGGCACTCTTCCGTGCCGTACGGGAGATTGTGTGGCAGCGGCGTTTGTTGGCTGAATTGGGGGAGGAGCAGCAAGAACCTACCCCACTGTACTGTGACAGCCAGGGTGCCATTGCTCTTGCTAAGAACCCTGTGTTGCATGGACTCACGAAGCACATGAGGGTGAAGTGGCATTGGACGAGGAGCATGGTAACCGCGGGTGAAGTTGAGTTGCGCTACGTGAAGACCACGGGGCAGCCGGCTGACATGATGACCAAGAGGCTGGTGGAGCAGCAGTATTGGAAGTGTTGCAAGCTGGCTGGGATGGCTCTGAACTGAGAGAGCAACATATCCTAAGGCCAACAATCCGAGGGGGAGTTTGTTGGTGCAACCCTACGGTTTGCACTCGGCTTGTTGTCCGTGTGCGTGAATGTGTGTGTGTATGGAATGGTATTAGGGCATGAGATAATATATATTTCATGCTTATAATTGTGTGTGAATGTTGAGTCATGATGTCGAGTGTGTGTGTCGAGTCAATAGCGAGTTATCGCTAGACGCGTGTTACGCGGTCGTTTGTGTCTCGCGCGCGGTTTCTATTTTGTCGTGCGCGGTTTCTATTTTGTCCTGTGTCGAACGTTCGGCGTGTCGCAGGTGTGTGCAGCAGACCCATCAAGAACTCAAGGATGAGTTTGTGATGAAGAGCCCGAGCCTTGGTGTCAAGCCTCAAGTGATTTCGAAGCTTGCCAAAAGGGTACACCTCAAGATATTTAAGATAGTTACATTACTTTGTGTAGTGTAACATTTCACTTGGTGTAGGCCCTAGTGAAGGGTAGTTTCGAGACCCTTCGTGGTTGGGGACAGTGTGGCACTGTTCCACATCACTGTACCTCGGCTCTTGGGGTTTGTAGGAGCTGGGAGTCATTCCCAGCTCGTAACTCTTCCTATCTTGTGTTCTAAGACTATAGTGGCTGCCATAGTACCGTTCGTTCAAACCGACGCTGTGTCGTCAATTCTTTATCAAATCGTGCAATCTAAATTGCTAATTGTAGACGACGTGAAGACGCTCCAGATCCAATTTGAATCAAGTCATTTGCAGCTGTGAGAAGAACGCTATCAACGTTTGAAGCCGCTGTGCAGAAATCCGTCTGTGCTCTCTATCTTTCGTTTTAGGCACATTCAAGCCTATTGTGACTATAACAGCACAATCTCAACTCGGCCCACTCTACTGGCCCTTCGCAATGGACCACGCAACACTGTTGCATAACCTCCTGTCTTCATCGACTCTACCCAACAACGCATCACCTCACTTGTTGTGGACAGGAAAACTGGGCACTACGAAACTTCTTCGAGTTTTTGGGTGTATCGTGCAATATCGTCCTCCCACCGCTCCGCTCGGAAAGTTCGATCAACGCGCTAAGTGGGGTCTTCATCTCGGCCTCGAGAAGCAGTTTTCTGCCTGGCGTATCCTGGATTATCGCAGTTGTCTTTTAATTCATGCCCGCGACTGTATTTTCTACGAAAATCTGACCCCTCCTATCTTCGAACAGTATCTCGCCACGCAGCGTGACCCTGCTACACTTTTCCACGATGTTCGTTCATTTGCCAGCACTGACGCCGAACTTGTTGCCAGCGAAGAACCTGACATTGACGGTGCACGTGAAGCTGCTCCTGATCCACCTATACCAACCACCTCTTCCGGATTTCTGGAATTCATTCCTCTCGTCGACGCTCATCCGGATGATGTTCGTGAAGTTCATCATACTTACCTGGTGGACGATCAACGACGTCCCATGCCAGCTGTAACTGACAGCAGCATCCGCGTCGATCCTGACGAAATTGGGGGGGCAAGTGGTGAACAGAATGAACCTGACAATTTCGCAGGACGGACCGAAGACAGTCCTAATTATCAAACTGGACTTCAGATACTGGGACACGCAGCAGCAGTACAGCACAATTCTACAGAAGTCGCAGAACCGAAAAATGCCCGACAGGCCCTTTCAGGACCACATCGCGAAAAATGGCGTGAAGCCATGGATCGTGAACTGGCTGCCCTGAAAAAACGGGAGACTTGGGATCTCATACCCATCGAAAAAGCTGCAAATAAAAATAATCTTACCGGAAAATGGGTCTTCAGAGTGAAGACGAAAGCTGACGGCTCTTATGAAAAACATAAGGCAAGGTGGGTTGTTCGTGGTTTTGACCAAACTCAAGGGGTAGACTACACGCTAACCTTTGCCCCGGTCAGCCGACACACAAGTGTTCGTCTCGTCATCTGCGAAGCAGCTGCGAAGAATTTTCCACTTCGACAAATTGACGTTTCCAACGCGTTTCTATACGCTGACGTCGATGCTGAAATCTACGTCGAATATCCGCATACCTATCCGACAAATCCGCCAAGTGTCTGCAAGCTCAAGAAGTCACTGTACGGCATCAAACAAGCACCGCGACTGTGGCAGCAGCATTTGAACAAGAAACTTATAGAGGTTGGGTTCCGACAACTGCCGCATGACCCCGGAATGTATCGACTAGACGACAAAGGGAGCTACGCGCTGCTCGTGGCATACGTGGATGATATTCTCTACGTCAGTTCTTCGGTTTCCTTGGGTGATCGCATCGAAGCAGATCTGAAGAAATCCCTCGATTTAATTGTCTCCACCGAAGTAACTCAATTTCTTGGGTTAAACATTTCGCGAACCTCCTCCGCCATCCACCTCACAGCATCGAAATATGCTGAGTCACTCGCTAAGCGTTTCAAGATTTCTACAGATTACGTCGCTACACCGTATCGGTCTACACCCACCGGGCACATCCTAAACAACACCAAACTTTCAGCAGCTGGTCTACAACTGTACCAGCAGCAACTTGGGTGCCTTCTCTTCGCAGCAGTCACGTGTCGTCCCGACCTTGCGTACGTCGCAAGCTATCTCGCACAATTTTTACGCTGCCCAAAAGAAGTACACCATCTCGATCTTCAGCGCGCTCTACACTACTTTGTCGCAACACCAACAGTCGGGCTGATTTTCAACACAGGAAAACCGACCGACAAAATGTACCTCAGCGGATATGTTGACGCAGACCACGCTGGTGACACGTCAGATCGTCGGTCACGAACAGGCTACATTTTTCGTCTCGAGCCAATTGGCCCGATCTCGTGGAACTCATCGAAACAAGTACTCGTGTCACTTTCCTCGGCTGAAGCAGAATTCATTGCTGCGTGTGCTGCAACTCGAGAAGGACTATACTTACAGGAACTGCTCGACGAAGCAAAGTTTGTCATGCCGAATCAGTTCATGTTGCAGTGCGACAACCAGAGTGCGATTACCATCGCCAACAAACCCGGCTTCGTCAATCGCACGAAACATACTTCACTGCGTTACTTCTTCGTCAAAGATACGATCGACAAGGGGAGGATGTGCCTTGTCTACTGTCCCACTGGTGACATGGCAGCAGGGCTGACGTTTCACTTTAGGGCTCCCTGATGCCGCTAAAAAAAAAATCCCTCGATATGAGTGCACATTGTTCAGGAGATTGTCACCTTGATGGCTCTGAGTTCAACAACTAGTCACTCTGATGAGTCAGGGTCGACAGCCTGAATTCAGGGTTGTGTTTCAAAATTTACTAGGGTGATTACTGCAATGTACAGCCTGTAACAAATTTCCTCCTACATCTACTCTACTCTAGTGCACAGGCCTATCGATGTGGAACACTTCCTCCACATCCTCATCGTCCGATAGGAAGGGATTGTCCTCCTCCTCCTCCTCCCCCACAAGCTCCTGATCGTCGCCCAGGGCCTGTTCCACATCCACCTCCTCCTCCTCGTCCTCCTCCCCATCGTTCTGGTGGGCAGCTCCTGCTTCGACTTCACCCTCCTTTGCTTTCCCCCTCCTTTCGCGATCAGCCACAGCAAGCTTCACGCTCTTTGCGGGGCGCCTCCTCCTCATAGACCTCCAGACCTCCAGGGCGTCCGGCCACTCGATGTCGTAATTCAGGAGCGAAATCTGCATCAGCTCCCCCGGCCGCGCGTTGCAGAGAGCGCCGCGCACCCAAGACAAGATCACATTTTGCCTCGAGAATCCTCTCTCGCACTCCACAGTTGACAGGGGGAGCACCACGATCGCCTGCCACAGGAGGACGAGGTTGGGCCACCTCCTGCCAGGCACATTGTCGGAGATGGGTGGGAAACAGAGTGACCACATGCACAAAATACATTAGACTCCCGCATGGCATACCATGCTGTCACACTACGAGGACATACCTCTTCGAGTCCGCGCTCCCGAGAATGTTGGTCAGTCCCTGCGTGAAGCTTTCCAGCTCGTGGTGCGCCTCCATGATCGCACAGAATGTGGGAAGCTCCCTCTCTGCGGCCTTGAGGTCGAATCCCGGCAGCTTGTGGCGGAAGAGTTTGCTGCATCCCAGAAGCCACTCACGGCACTGCTTCTCCCGTTGTGCCTTGATCTTCGGCCACTTTCCGGCCCGAAACAGCTTCGTCGGCCCCAGCTTCCCCAGGTCATCAAGCCGCTCGTTGAGATTGTCCACGCAATCGCGGGCGAAACTGCGGCACAGCTTCACGCACTCCTCGTATCCGCTCCCCACCTTGTGCCCCGGGAGCTTCCGCTCGTGCATGGTGTACAGATGGTTCACTGGGCGTCCCTCCCCGTCCACGCCTCTCACACGGACCTTCTTGCCTCCACCATGCCCGTGCAGCTTCAGAAAGCCGACCAGCCAGCACTTGCCCTCGCCACCGAACTGCTTGTCGGTATCCAAATACCGCTCAGTCAGATCCGCCGTGGTGGCCTCGATGGTCTTCGCAATCTCCGTCACATCAATCTGTAAGGGCACAGTCATACAGGACATGTCATTTTACATCCAACACTCGAGAAATTGGAGACACTAGCAGAGGCGTGTTCGTGGAAGATTAAACAAACTCACATCTCGCTTCTGGAAACAGCGGTTGAGGTCGTTCATGTCGGCGAGGATGTCGGCAAGGAAGAACAGGCAAAACTGGAACTTGTGACTCCGCTCCCAGAGAAGAAAGATACACGCACCGAGCACCTTGCACAGCCGTCGCACCGCATCTCCACATGAGAGCCGGCGAACCGTGTGGATCCCCTGGACTTCGAGATTAGTGTTGTAGATCACACGCTGCAGGTACTTGAACCGTTTGCTCCAGACTGAAGAATCTCCTAGTTTTGCCGCCACGGTGCGCACCACCTTGTCCACCATGCCGAGGTCGGGGTTGGACATCGCCGCGTCCTTAACAGCTAGCGCCTCCCTGCAATAGACAACGTTAATAATTGTTGAGTAGAAATCAGGCAAGCAACATGAAATGGATCAATAACTGGCACTAAATCTTACCGGTGCGCGATGCAGTGACAGGAAAAGAGATGCAGGGCGTGCTCCCTGGTCCGCGCCACCAATCCGTTGTCCTTCCCCGTCATGACCGAAGCCCCGTCCGTACTGATTCCGACAAGCTTCGACACGTCGACGGCTGCGGAGCGCAGATGATTCATGAGCACCTCGAACAGGGACGCAGCATCACACTTCTCCACAGTCAGGAGGGTGAAGAACTCGGTGACGACTCGGCGGTCCTTGATGAAGGTCAGGTAAACAATCATGTGTTTACCACGCGTTCGGTCAATGCTCTCGTCGCATTGCAGGCCCAGGAACGGTGAGGAGTTGATGTGGTCCATCTGCGCATTCGTCAAGTATGTACTGAGGCAGTGAACCATCTGCTGGAAGCCGTACCTGCGCAGAGATGTAGGTCCTTCAGTTAGTCTTTCTGGGGGAAAATATTTCATTATCACGAATTCAATACAGCAAGATTGTAACTAAAATGTCCTACAGTGTGAGATAAACACCGTAAGACTGTCTCGGGATGTCGGGCGTGTCCTTCTCCGCGAGATGCCGCATCAGCCTAGGGTACATGCTTATCGGCGCGTCGCACTTGCACAGAAACACAACCGACCGCAACAGTCGGACGGCGCGCCTGCCCTCGACGTCCGAGTTGATGAAGTTCGAAATCACTTGCTGCCCCTCGCGGATGCCTCTCGCAATCTTCAGCTGCCCGTCAACAGCCGCTTTGTGCGCGTCCGTGTGCTCGTGTGCGCGAAACGCCTGCGTCTGCATGTCACGGCCTCCGTCATCACCCTGCCTCGCGTACCTCGTGTTCTCCTTCCCATAGGCCATGCAGACACTGCACTTCACATAGGGAAACCCATCCTTGGTTTTTCCGAACACAAGCCAGGAGAACTGTCCCGACCACCTCGTATCGTACATGATGCTGGCCCCCAGGAACACTTCTCCCGTAACTGCGCCTTGGTGAGGGCGGGCGAGCCGGTGTCCGCGCGGATCGGGAACACATCTTCCTCTGGCGGTGCAGATGCAGCAGGTGGTGGATCAGCCGGAGTGTTTGAAGCATAAAGTCGGCGGCCTGCGACGAGCAGGGTATGCTGCGCCCACTTCCCTAAACGCGCTCTCTTCGGTGTGGAGGTAGCCGACGGAGGACCAACGGACACCCGCACGGTGCTTGGTGTGGGACTTGGCGCGGTCGGTTGGGGATCTTTGCTGCAAGAAGCAACAGCCGGGGATATAGTGAAGGCGGCCTCCCAGGGAGACTCTTCAGGTGTGGCCGTGGGCGTGTCTTTAACTGCAGAATCATCTACGGTAGACCTAGGTGGATCCGGTGTTACTGGAGCAGCGGAACCTCTAAGAAAATCAAGCCCCGGGCGTGGCTCCGTGGCTTTCGGCGGTAACGGTGGCTCATCTGAGCTAGCCTGAGGCGTGTCCTCGTCAGCCTGCTGGCCTTCCATGGCTGGGAGAAGCTAGAGATGGGGAGAGAGAGAAACGGAGAAATGAATTGAAAAAAGGGAACATAACAGCAGCACCAACAAGACCCTGGCTGTGGGAGGGGGGAAGCAAGAGATGGAGGGAGAAGGTGGGGTCAGCAAGAATCCACCGCGTCGCCACGAAATTGATGGCGCGGTGGTCGAAACAACGAGCCGTCATTGTATTCGGCCTTTCATGCAGGCCGAATACATTGAACGACTGCTTCACTGCCAGCGACGACAGCCACAAAGTGTCTCCCTCCAATGAGGGACATGTATTGTGATTTGCGCGGTGCGCGTGGCAGTAAATATGATGATTCTTGATGCGCTGTCAAATTTGACAGCTGTGCTGTACATCGATGCTGTACAAATGACAGTTGTGTTCTGTGTTGGTTCTTGTTACTAGTGTGCGTGAAACGAAGCCCCCAAATGGTTAGGTGCGAAATCATAATTACCCACATGGGGGGGTATCAGAACAAAGCTTCTACGAAGCTTCATTCAGATAACATCACTTTCAGGATCCACAGGTCGCGTACTCTGTATTGACAGGGTCCATGAAAACACTACACTGAGAGAGTATTGAGAATTTCAGGCTCCGCTAAATCAATACTCTGAATGGATCAGGGACCAAAATGTGAAAAACCTGATTTCACAGGGATCACAAGGTGAGAAGCCTGAAATCACCCTGAAATCAGGGTAATTACCCTGATAAAATCAGCCCTGCATGGCAGCTGACAGGCCCTACGATATCAGGAATTTTTCCTTGAAATTCCTGATTTTCAGGGATTTTTTTGTACCTACACTGATTTTTCAGTGTTGAGAATTTTGTGACACTGATCTTTCAGCCTTTATTTCATAGTTGACACTGATTTTTCAGTCTTTTATCGAAGTGTACACTGAATGCACATTCCGAATCCTTCCTGTCAACCAACATTTTCTGGTTTTTCGCGTACGAGAATGTAAGAGATTGACGTTTTAGAGAATCAACTGTTTCAGTGGTTAGTGATTTTCTACCGACGGGTAAGGGCCAGGTTCGAATCCCTTCTCTATCATGTTTCGTAAAGCCTACCCTTGTATACAAGGTTTTCATTTGCTTGAAAATTCAGGCTTTGTTTTTTAGGAACCCTGAAAATTCAGGGTTTTTTTTTTTAGGAACACTGAAAATCAGGGTTTTGTTCACAGGGACCCTGATGCATCAACGTCCCTTAAAGTGAATCTGAGGGCCTGGCAGCTGACTCACTTACCAAGAAACTGACACGACAGAAGTTTCACCACTGCAACCAGCTCAGCGGCGTTTCTGAGACAACCGGGTAACTACACCGAACTCCTAGAAGTGAAGGGGAGTGTTGAGATAATATGAAGACTTAAGCACTTCAAGGATTGGTGTAGTACAGTGCGAGACTTCGCATGTAACAATAAAGTACCGATAGGCTGACGTCAGCAAAGCGCTACGCGCCCTCGGATGACGTCAGCACGTAGCTATAGGCCTCGCGAAAAATCACGTACCGTTTCAGAACAGGAATAGCGCAGTACAGTAGGCGAACAGGTACTTTACTCTAGCTATATATTTTGTATGTCTGTCATTTTTAAATATATCTGATTTCAGAGACATTGATCCTGAAACATATCACTACATGGGCTTTTATTAGTCCAGACAAAACCTCATTAACTGGCTTTAATTCATACAAAACTTCCTGGCTACGACAGGAAGCTACCATCCTAAGTAATACGATCCTATTCAAGCATCTCAAATTCTAACAGAAATGAGAACTGCAAGCAAGATATATGCAAACCCTACCCAACCATAGCCAACCCTAAACATCAATATACACCACCTAGACTAGCAAATACAAACTATAACAATGATACGGTAGTTTGACAGCGCGCTACTCTGCTGGGTGACTCTGCAGGGAGAGTCTGATGATATCTCATTATCAATTATAGCGTTATAGAAGAACGCCTAAACAATACTCGGCAATCAAGACGAGAATAGCCCGATTCTCCCTGCCAATCCCTAAGGCAACTAAAATTAGCAGTTACGTACGATGAGGATCCCACAATTCTCCCTGCTGAACCTAAAAGCAACTAAGATAAGCAGAATAACTAAGGCTTCTGCAATTTATCCACTCCATGGACAATGAAAAGCCTTCCCTTAAACAGCTTGGAACGCTTGATTTTTGCTTTCTTCTTTCCAAGAAAAGGCTTCCACTTCTTAGTAATGCGGTCCAACCCCAGTGCCTTCAACACCTTGCGACCGTTTCCGTCCTTCAGCACCTTGGCCTTACTGATGCCATCCTCGTCGTAGACCCCGTCAAGCAGATTAGCCCGAATCATCGATGCATAGTGGCGAACCTTCTGGCGCTTGAGACTCGGATTCATCAAGTCGGCGAGGGCACCAGGGGCAGCGGACGCGATTGCGTTGTCGTCAGGCAGCAGAACGGTTTTGCCGTTCGCTGAGGCGAGGAAGTCGTCCGTTGGGTTCCAATTGGTCTCTGAAGCACACGAAAAAAAAAACTTAAGAAAGAAAAATAAAAACGTGAGAAGATAACTACGTCTCAAAAATTCTAGGGAGCAAAGGCAAGAGACAAAGAACGTTTTAGGTAGAACCCCGCAGAACATATACGCAATAGATCTTCACTAAATTAGTGCATCTTGGTACCCAGTTGAGGGATGAGAGTGTCAAGGAACATGGCGCTGGCGCGATATTGGCTACTCAGTTCGGGGTCCGCAAGCGAGGCTCGAACGTTCTTCACCTCCGCGATCAGCTCCTCCTTGCTGGGCCGCCCCGCCGCAGCAGGCGCCAGCAGCAATGCGACCGCAATGGCAAAAAACGAAAGCTGCCGCGACAAAACCATGGTGCACGATCAACTGGGGTGAATAGATATGCCGTTTCTGCCTCTATGACCCAAAACCACCAACCTATTTCTACCTGGGTTGTGTCGAAAGGTGGTGGTGGGGACAGAGCTGGATTGAAGCTCCATCAGGGTGGTGCTGCCAGCAACAGAGACTCGCAGTCAATGCTTTTTCCCCGTTCAGCTCGAGATGTGTGGGGTAACATAGTAGTAGTCACTCTCCGTATACCGTATATGCCCGAAGCTGTATATAATGCTCACCTATTCAAGGAATCTGTTATGAATGAACTTGCAGACTGCGCAGTAAAACGAATAACGAGAATGATTGAGTACTGAATTGATACAATGAACACACAAAGTGACGAGGCCTAAATAGGGGAAGTCCTAGCTAGGCGAAGAGGTAGGGCGAAGATGGCTCGGTGATGGTTGCGATTGGAGCGGAGGCCGACTCGGAGGTGGTTCGGTGCGACGAATTAGGGCGAACAGGTTCGTCGCGTGACCCTCGGGATGGCCTTGCTAACGAGTGCCTCAGTAAGGATTTATAAATCCTTACACTCTCCCACCTTCT